GAAGGCACGGTTTCTCCTACAGAAACCCCCAGTCCCACCTGCTTTGCTGCCTCCTCTCTCCCCACCATCCCTTGCATATTGGAACGGCCTGAAGTTCTGTCCTCAGCCTCCTAACTGGCCTCACTGCCTCTGGAGTCCTCACTCCCTTCCACGGCCCAACTCCCACCTAGCAGTGTCCAGCCCAGCTCTAGAGGCCTCTCCAAAAGTAGTTCTGATTGGACTCTGCAGACTCCTCAACATTACCCAGGTCCAAAATTGAACTCTTCTCTCCAGAATGAGCTCCTCCTCCTCTGCGTTCCCTCTTAATGAAGGGTAACATCTATCCAGCCAGTTGCCAAGCCATAAGCCAGTCACCATCAGGTCCTGTTTCTCTTCCCAAATCCAATAAGCTCTCCTGACGCACAACCCACCTGCTCACACGTCTCCAGAATCCTCCTCTCTATCCTCTCTCCTCACAGTTACCACCTTAGTTGGGCCTGCAGCATCACCCCTTCTTTCACCCCTCCTGCTGGCCACACTCTTGTCATCTAAATCTGCTTGTCCATTAGAATCTTCTGTGAGAGGGGCCTTTAAAAATACAGATTTCAGGTGGCTGCCTATAATCCCAGCACTTTGGGAGGCCGAGGCGAGTGGATTGCCTGAGCCCACGGGTTTGAGACCAGCCTGGGCAACTTGGCGAGACCTCACTTCTACGATAAATCAAAAATTAGCCATGCGTAGCAGCACACACCTGTAGTTCTGGCTACTTGGAAGGCTGAGGCGGAAGGCTCACCGGAGCCCAGCAGATCAATGCTAGGATGGCCGTGAGTGTGCCATAGAACTCCAGCCTGGGCGACAGAGTGAGACTCAACTCAAAAAAAAAAAAAGATTTCATAAAATACATATATTCTATAGATACAGATTTCTGATGCCCACATTAGCCCGGCTGCATCCAACCCTCTGGGGACAGGACCAGGTAGGTAGACATCCCGAAAGCACACAGCTGCTTTTTTGCGGCTGGGACACAGGTAGCATTTGGAAACCACTGTCCCGTCACCACGAGTCATCCCTCCTCCCCCATCCTCCTGTCCACCACAGGGAGAAGCGCCCTTGCCTTGGCCCCCAGACCTCCGCCTCTGCCTACTCCCTGGGACTCTGTCACTCAATCCTGTGTATTCAACCTTGTCCCCACTACTGGGTTTTTTCCAACACTGTTCACACAGGCTAACAGGCTAAGGGTCCCTCGACTTAAAGAACTCTCTCTTCCACCTGCAGCCACCTCTGACCACAATTCACCTCTGCTTCTCATGACTCAGATTCTTGAAAGCGCCTTCCAAGCTCACTGCCTCCACTTTCATCCCACTCAGAAGCAGGCGACTCCAACCTGACTTCTCTCCCTGACCACGGACAAGCTATTCTGGAAAGATCCTGGGGGCCTCTGTTTTCCCAAAAGGTCACTTTTCAGTCCTGTTTTAAGACTCTCTGCCACATGCAATGCTATCAGCCACTCCCGCCCTGCAACTTTCTCCTGGGTGTCCGCCTCACTCCCTCCCGGGCTACCCCTCAGTCTTCTTCCTGGTCCCCATTTCTCCCTCTTTAAATATTTAAATGCCCACAAGCTCTGTCCTCTGTTCTCGTGTCACCTTCCACGGGCCTCTGAATGATTTACCACACACCTCTTAGAAACTGCTCCCTCCAGCCATGACCCACAAGCCCCTAATTCATTCCCTCCTGCCTCTTTGCCAGGCCCTACCCAGGCTCTGCCCCTCACAGAGGCCCCTCCCCATCAAGATGCCCGACAAACTCCTACTCACCCCTCAGTCAGCTCAAATATTGCCTACATTGAGAAGTCATCTTTGACAACGTGCCTCTCCCCCACCAGCCCACCCCCGGCAATGAACCCATAGCATCAAGCACAGAAGCTCTTTTTCTGAAACATTTTCACCAACAGACCTTGAAATCCTTAAGGATGGGAACTATACCTGGAATATATGAGTGCAATTAATGTTGGCTGCGGCCATCGTTACACAACGAATATACTGTGAGGTGAATGCATAATAGGAACCTATGAATAAATGTAACATATGATACACACATTACTCAGCATAGAGTAGGGTGACAGCATTGGTCTATAAGTAAGGAATCTAAATAAGTCATAAACACCATTCCTGGCACTCTTGCTTGATCATAATTGCAAGACCTGACAGACAGCAACTCAGTGTCAAAGACATGGTCGCCGGTGTCCTCCCCGATGTACCACTCAGGCTGCATTCGCTTTCTTGGTACCTTGAAAACCCCCTCCTGTGCCTGTTTCAGGTTCTCTGTGCTTGGTGTTTCCTTTAGTTAAAATGAAGGATTTTACAAACTGACTCAGCTGGCTCCTTCACACCACATGGGTCTCAGCTCACACATCACCAGCCCGGACAGCTTCCCTGACCCTGCATGCTGAAGCAGCACCCTACCATACCTTGGCCATTACCCTCGTCTTCTTCACAACACCCATCACATGTGAAATCACACTGATTTGTTAACCATCTAACACCGGTCTCCTTTATCCTGTTTCCTCCTCTATCTTCTGCGTGGGAACAGTGTGTGGCCCACATGGGTACTCAACAGACACCCGCTGTATGAATAAAGGAGAGAGAGAAGAGGAGAGCAAGTTTAACTCCAAAACACCATGATCCCCTTATCACACATGTGGGAAATATGCAGGTGGTAGAAAATAGCAAGGATTTCTCTAGAAAGAGGGACTGTTACCACCCATTGGGGGAGGGACAGGCAGATGTATTATCCCTCCTCAGGAGTCTCACTCAGGATCAGAACTCTGACTTACCAAAGGGTCACACAACCTCTTATCCAGAGAAAATCACTTTGCAGAGAAAATGTTAGAGCATATCTGCTAACAAACAGACCTGCCAAACTCCCAACCCTGAAAAGCTATGCCTCAATTCTACCATCAGCACGAAGCTCTTGGGACCAAGACTTGTTCATCACTGTGTTCATCACTGTGTTCCCAGCACCTTGCCCAGCGCATGGCCCACAGCAAAAGCCCAAAATGTCTATAAAATCAGCATATAAGACACGGCCTTCTGAGGAAAGGTCAACCCATCATCCTTACACTGCAGATGCTCTTAATTTTAGAAACAGGTCAAGACAGCTGAGGAGGGCCCCCTGGCCCAGACCTCTCTCTGGGCATTGGCTTGGTTCCTAGAACTTAATACTCACCAATATGTGCTGTAGATAATAAAGTATTGCCTTTCATAAAGTCATCCTGTATCAAATTTAAATATACTTTGCCAATACAATCAAATGGCTAAAACAGTACAGCAACCAATCACAGATTTCTCTTGCCCTTTTAATTTTTTATATATATTGTGCTCAGCAAAGATAGTTCAAAATGCTGAAATAACTAAAACTGAAGAATTCTACTGCGAATTTTGTAACCACCAGTTTCTGGCTGACTGTCCAATCCCAGGATAGCCCCACCACCTTCCTGAACAGCTTCAGCAACACTCATAATGTTATTCATCCAAAGTGTAGTTTGGGGAAGATTAATTAGATAGTAGTTGTAACATACTCTGGGGCCAATCCATGAAAGATGCCATAAATCAAATTAATGACAAAACAAAGGAAATCATAAATATGAAACCCACTTTAAAACCTGAGAAGTTGAGAAGTGAGGAAGATTTAAAATTACGCCTGTGGCTCCGATATTGTCACTGTCAGACTAGGACACATAACCTCAGAAGAAGATTCATGACACTCACAACAGCTCTTTAATATTTGGAAATGCCACATGTTTATGTACTCTGATAACATTAACTTCACATGTATAGAGATATAAGGTATAGGTTGGGTGCAGTGGCCCAACCCTATAATCCCAGCACTTTGAGAGCCCAAGGTGAGGGCATTGTCTGAGCCCACAGGTTCGGGAACAGCCTGGGCAACTTGGCAAGACCTCATTCTACAATAAATTAAATTTAAAAAAAAAAATAGCTGGGCGTGGTAGCACACCTGTATTTCCTGTTGCTTGGAAGGCTGAAGCCAAAGGATCGCTGGAGACCAGCAGGTCGATGCTGGGGTGGCTGTGAGCATGCCACTGCACTCCAGCGTGGGCGACGGAGTGAGACTCCAACTCAAAAACAAACCCCAAAAGTGATATAAGTTATCTCCAGTGACAAGCCACTGCAAAATTATAGCTGTTCAAATAGTTTCCTGTTGCTCTATTAATGCCTAATCTCAGGGCTGTTTGGTTAACATACAGTCTACCTTATAGAGAGTCAAACACATTCAAGGGCAGTGAGAGAAAGTGGTCTAAAGGCAGTTTACACTTCTCCGCCCGGCCTGCCGACCACCGTTTAAAATATAGAAACATTCAGCAGCAAAGCGTGTGCTCTCTCGTCAGTGACTTCCTAACTTCCTTCTACTTTAAAGCACTTTAATCAGTTTGTATGCGTCTAAAAACTCTTCGGGGAGACTGGAGAAGAAACGCATCTAAATAAAGCCGCGAGGGGTCAGCTCCCAAAGCAGAGGTTGAAATCAGCAGGTGGAAGAAGAGTCAGTCCGGTCCCCCAGGAGCCTAAATGAATGGGGCAAGGTGACTGGGAGGGGGCAGGCGGCCAGCGTCGCCTCCGCTGGGACAGCCTCTCCTTTCAGCCTGGCACACGCGCCACGAAGGGCATGGGGCCGGGCCACGAAAACACCAGGGCTCCCAGCCCACCTGCAGCAGCCCCAGGAGCTCCTGAGCATCGCACCTGGGACTCCCAGGTGAGGGCCGGGGAGCTGGCGACGGGACTGAGAGCCCACTCGCCTCTCCAGGCTGACGTGGGGGGCGATGCCCGCTGCCCCCCGCCAACCCCCGCCGAGAGTTAGAAACTAGCAAGGTTCGGGCGCGGGGTCCGAGGGTCGCCCCCCAGCCAGCCTCCTGTAAACTCGAGGGTCCCCGCTTTCCCCAGCCTCCTCAAGGAGGTGCCCGGGGTGGCGTGTAGGGGGCAGCCAGGATGGCGGTGGCCAGTACTCACAAAGCCCACTGGAGCCGGTGCTGGTAAACATGATCCCGCCGGGCCCGGAGCCCCCCGCGGGGGCCAGGGGGAGGGGAAGCGGAGGTGGAAAGCCCCGGCGGCCGCGCAGGCGCACTCGCGGCGGGGCGGTGAATCCGGCGCTGCGATGCCACTCCAGGGGCCGCGTGGCGAACGGCGCATGCGCGGGCCGTGGAGCGCACCGGCTCGGTCAGCTCCCTTCTTCCTGCCTGGGAAGGGAAGTGCGTCTGTCGGGGAGGGATCTGCCTCCCCCGGCTTTTCCGACGGCCACGAGAGCCGTTTGGGAAAAAAAAAAAAAAAAAAAACAAGGGGATGGCACGGGAGGGGCAGAGGTGTGCCTCCCGTGATCCGCACCCTTGTGCTCAGAACCGCCCTACGTCTCGTGGAGCCGCGATGGCGGCGGATTCCTCTGGGATGCCAGCGCTGAGCATTCCTCTAGACCTCTAACCTGTTACCGAACGAGACCCCGGCGCCTTTCACGCACGCTAAGTCTTTCCGGGCAGTGCCCACGAAACTGTTCCCCTGCGGACCGTAAGCTACAGTGTGAACCGGCTCGGGTTCCGGTGTCCAGCGAGTCCGAGAGGTCGGAGCCCCAACCGGCCGGTTCCCACGTGGGGTCCTCGCGGCATCCCCACAAGAAGCCGAGTGCCCTTGGGCCGGGGAGGCAGCTTCTCTCCCTGCCGGCGAAGTGACTCTGCCCCCCGTCCCCATGAGAGGACACAGCTGGAGACAGAGCCTGCCCCCGCCAGACACCGAATCTGCAGGTGCCTTGATCTTGGACTAACCAGCCTCCGGAACGCTGGGCAAATCATTTTCATAAATTACCTAGTCTAAGGTACTGTGTTACAACAACCTGAACAGAGACGCTTGTAAGCACGGTATGTGCCTTGCAGAGTTTTTAATCATGCTGAATTTTCCAGAAATGCAACTGGGCTGCATGGAGCCATTGGAACTTAATCAAGATTGTTCACCAATTCAGAAACCTCACCAGCCTCACCAGCTACTACAGCCGTTCTGCTCACTGTATCTGAGTCGCGAGTATCAGTTTGTATTTATGGCTGGTGCCTTCTTGGTGACTCAATATCTTTCATAAAGATGTATCAATTTTGCCCTTATTTTTAAGTACTACGTATATTAAATATTAAGAAATGGTGTAAGAATATTCAGCTGAATATTCGAATGTTTCCAGAGGACAAGACCTTTTTTCTGATTCATCTAAGATTAAGTGAACACTTTATAAAGAAAGCGTTTGCAAAGATAGACAGTAGAGATCTAAGGAAGGTTTGAAAATCATAGTATTATCCCTGAAATTTGTTTTGAAGTTTAATATGAAAGATATAAGGTCCCATTTCTTATAGAATAGCACAGATGATAACACTTTGTGGTAATCTAAACAATTTTGGAGGAAAATTAAAAACACCAGCTGTATGAGAAGTTACTACAGTAGTAAAAAACAAGTAATTTACTCTGTTCTGTTGAGCATTTATATGTAGAAGGATCTATGTGAAATCCAAGGAGGTAGAAGATGAGCTCTGAAAAGATCTGGAGTCAAAAGAATTTTGTTGCAAGTGAATATAAATAATCTGAATGATAAAACTTTGCTAATTACACATGTATGATTCATAGGAAATGAAAACATTAAGCAAAAAATTTATTTACAAATGTACAGCTCTTAATATCCATTGATACTACAGCTGTCAAATTTTGAAACTCTTAAAAAATTTTTGTGCAGGCAGGGCGAGGTGGCTCATACCTGTAGTCCCCAGCACTTTGGGAGGCTGAGGCGAGAGCATTGTTTGAGCCCAAGAGTTTGAGACCAGCCTGGGCAAGATAGCAAGACCTCATCTCTACATAAAATTTAAAAACTAGCCAGGCATGTTGGTGTGTGCCTGTAGTCCAGCTACTCAGGAGGCTAAGGTGGAAGGATTGCCTGAGCCTAGGAGATCAAGGGCTGCACTGAGCCATGATCATGCCACTGCCTCCAGCCTGGGCAACAGAATGAGACCCTGACTCAAAAAAAATTTCACAGGAAACCTTTTTTTCTTGTCCAATGTCATTGTGCAGCAGATGGAAGCAGCAGCTATGGTCAGCTGGTAGCAGATTTTATTAATGGCTGAAAATTAGTAACAGCCTGGTAAGCAGGTTGAATTAGTCACTGGCAGCCTAGAAGTCACCACAAATTTTAATGAAAGACTCACAATTCAGTGAATGTTGTTGGTGCCATTAATAAAATTAAAATCAGTACCTTGGATAAAAGATCATTCTGTAATCTTTGTAATGAGTGAATCTCATCCTACATATGGAATAAAATGGCATTCCAAAGAAAATTGTTTTAAAATATTTATTCTTTAATACTAATATGCAATTTCTATTTCAATACAAGATAAAAATAAATGGTGTTTAGGAAAAACTCAAACCATTTTTCCTCTGCTCTCACACCAACACAATAATCAATAAAGAAGAAGGCTTTTGTGACCATAGGGGGTAAGAGAGCATGTTCCTGACCATCAAATGAGCAACTGGGTGTCCTTCAATTCAATTTCAATACGATTACTTAGAAAGAGCTTCATATCCCACAGTCCCCAACACTAGTTGCAAGTCCATCTCCAGAACTTCTGGCCAACAAACTTCAAGTTGGGGTTCCCACGACCCCCTCTTTGGGTTCAGTTAATTTACTGGAGCAGCTCACAGAACTTGGAGTTTTATCATGGAGGATATTACAAAGGATATAGATGAAGAGAGGTGTAGGGCAACGCATGGGGGAAGGGCTTGGAGCTTCCCCGCCCTTTCTAGGAAGCACCACCCTCTGGGAACTTCCATATGTTCTGCTATCTAGAAGGTCTCTGAACACTGGCCTTTGGACTCTTTATGGAGACTTTATCGCATAAGCATGCTTGAAGCATGGACAACCATGCCAAAATGTGATTGGACAAAAGGGATAATCTAAACCCTCTCTGTTCAGATTCTTCTTGTTCTCACTCTGGGTATACCACCTCCAGGGTATGAGACAGGACCCTTTCTAGAATGAGGGTCTTATGACCCACAATCAGATTACAGTCCTGCTTTGGTCTTTCGGTGACCAGACCCCAATCTGAATCTGTCTAGGGGCTATCAGTTCAATCCTTAGCTACAAAAAGACATTACTTTGGAGATTCCAAAAAGACACCACTTAGGAGTTGTATGCCAGGAAGCTGGGATGGAGACCAGTTATTATATTTTACATCATCATAAATAGTGATATCAAAATATTATGAAATGATTGGATAGATATTTCATGCATATCAGATAGATGAATTTTCTTACGCTGCAAGCGAGATTGATATTACTAAAGAGGAAAAAATTACCTTGTGATTTTTCAACAGATTTAATCATTTTAAGAAAAACTTGCTTGCCCAGAATTTCACAGTTCCATTTTCTATAGCAAATAAAGCTAGTTCTAAAGATACTGGTTTGAAACAATATTGCTAATGTTAATGCTATTTAAAAACATAATAATTAGATCTAATGATCGATATGGATGTACATTATCAATTAGGTCATTAATCCATTTAAAATGATACAGCATATTAGCCAGTCTTTGCAGGAGGTGTTGATTGAGCTAAAAAAAAAAAAAAAAAAAGTACTTGGGGTACAAAAGAATTATTTAATTATAAAAAGTTTTGGATTCAGCTGACTTTTCATCTGTCCTTTAAAATGGAAGCTATATTATTTATTATACATTATTTCAGCAGCATCTTTTGGTGACAACTTCAGTGCCATGGAACAATTACTGCAAAAGTAACAAAATGTAACAGAACATTTGCGATCCCTTTTAACAGAATTAGAACCTCATTAAATTTCATCAATCAGATTTTTAAAAATATTTCATGTTATGGCCATCTGTTTTAATCTGGGTCTCTCCAAAGGCAGATTCTGAGTCAAAGTTTTAGGTACAAATAGTTTGTCTGGGAAGTGGTCCTAGGAAATACCAGTGAGAGGATGGCAAAGTGATCCAGGAAAGAGAAAAAGATGACTTACCAAACAAATTAGCACTGTGGGCAACCAGAACTTAATTGCATTGGGAAACCCTGGGAGCCAGTTCCTCAGATTCAGCCCACCAGAGAGCAAGGGAGCAGGGGTATTGATCCACTGACTCCCATTAGTTACTCAGGATACTTCCAAGTAGCAATTCTCCACAACTTCCAGCCTGCCACATGAATAAGCAGAGGCTCTGGTGACAGGGCAAGCTTGAAGTCAAAAGCTACAGTTGGAAATTATGCCCAGCCGGTAAAGGTCAGGTATAGGGCAGGGTACAGGAGATGCTGCTGTTTTTATAGCACGGTGATAGGAAAGCTCTGTTGAGAAAATTACATACAGAAATTTTATGGTGTGGATTTTGGGGGAGGGTGGAGGGATGGGTCTCCCTGTATCACTGTCTGATGAGGTTCTTATGCCCCCTTCAGAGAGAGCCAATTCATTGAGACAGCAAGTTGTTTGCTGCAGTAAAGAGAGAGTTTAATTATCACAGGGCAGCCAAGTGGGAGATGGGAGATATTTCTCAAATCCACCTCCACGAGAATGTTTAGGCTTGAGTTTTTATTTTTGTTTTTATCTTGAGTCGGAGTCTCACTCTGTCCCAGACTGGAGTGCAGTGGTACGATCACAGCTCACTGCAGCCTCGACTTCTTGAGATCAAGCAATCCTTCTGCCTCAGCCTCGCAAGTGGCTGCAGGCATGTCCCATCATGCCCAGCTAATGTTTTGATCTCTTTTTTTTTTTGTAGAGACAAGGTTTTTTTTTTGTTTGTTTTTGAGTTGGAGTCTCACTTTTTTTCCAGGCTAGAGTGCAGTGGCATGCTCATGGCTACCACAGCCCTGAGCTGCTGGGGTCAAGTGGTCCTTCCACCTCAGGCTTCCAAGTAACTGGAACTGCAGGTGCGCACCACCACACCCAGCTAATTTTTTGATTTATTGTAGAGACAAGGTCTCGCCAAGTTGCCCAGGCTGGTCTCGAACCTCTGGGTTCAGGCAATCATCTTGCCTCTGCCTCACAAAAGGTTGGGATCACGGGCGTGAGCCACCACACCTGGCCAAGGTTCATGGTTAAGGGATAAGTTCCTCAGTCTCGCAGGCCACTCTCCCTAGGAGGGGGCACAGGACCTGAAGATGATCAATTA